AAGATCAGGATAGAGTTAATATTACCTTTCATTCTTTTTTTTTTTTGAGACAGGATCTCACTGTGTCTCCCAGACTGGAGTGCAGTAGTGTGATCACAGCTCACAGCAACCTCCAACTCCTAGGCTCAAGTGATCCTCCTGCCTCCACCTCCCAAGTAGCTGGGACTACAGGCACATGCAAACATGCTCAGTTAATTTTTTAATTTTTTTATAGAGATGGGGTCTTGCTGTGTTGCCCAGGCTGGTCTTGAACAGAGCTCCTGGCCTCAAGTGATCCTTCTACCTTGGCCTCCCAAAGTTCTGAGATAACAGGCACGAGCCACTGTACACCTGGCCTAATGCTACCTTTCATACATTAGAAAACTTAGCTGAAAACAAAGAATATTACATCTTCTAAGATGCGGGAGGGGAATCATTCCTAAGCAATAGGAACAAAAGGAGATAAGCTAGGAAAGCCTATCAGAGAGACGAGGAACAGGAATGGTAACAATGGTCTCATCACAACACTACTACATGTTTCTAGCCTGGAACACATGTATGTCTAGTGAAACAAGGGCAAAGATATAGGTGGACTCTAGCCCAGCATTGTCCAATACAATGGACACTAGCTTCATGTGGCAATTTAAACTTAAACTACATCAAATAAAAAAAGAATTTCTTGTTTGCATTGGCTCATTTCTTTTTTTTCTTTTTTTTTTTTTGAGACAGAGTCTCACTCTGTTGCCCAGGCTAGAGCGCTGTGGCGTCAGCCTAGCTCACAGCAACTTCAAACTCCTGGGCTCAAGCAATCCTTCTGCCTCAGCCTTCCGAGTAGCTGGTACTACAGGCATGTGCCATCATGCCCCATTAATATTTTCTATATATATTTTTAGTTGGCCAATTAATTTCTTTCTATTTTTAGTAGAGACAGGGTCTCACTCTTCCTCAGGCTGGTCTTGAACTCCTGACCTCGAGCAATCCTCCTCAGCCTCCCAGAATGCTAGGATTATAGGCATAAACCACCTCGCCCAGCCTGAATTTCCTTCTTTGTAAAGGACATAAGTATTCTATTGTGTATATATACCATATTTTCTTTATTAATTCATCAGCTGATGGGCACTTAGATTGATTCCAAATCTTGGCTATTGTGAATACTGCTGCAGTGAACATGAGAGTGCAGATATCCCTTTGACATATTAATTTCAATTCCCTTGGATACAACCCCAGAAGCGGGATTGCTAGATCATGCAGTAGTTCTATTTTTAGTTTTCTGAGGAATTTCCATAATGGTTGTACTAATTTATATTCCCACCAACGGTGTACAAAGGTTCTCTTGTCATCACTTGTCATCTTTCATCATTTTGCTAATAGCCATTCTAACAGGTATTAAGTAATATCTCATTACAGTTTTATTTGTTTGTTTGTTTTAAATAGGCAGGGTCTCAGTTTGTTGCCCAGGCTGGAGTAGTGGCACCATCATAGCTCACTGCAGACTTGAATTCCTGGGCCCAAGCAATCCTCCCACTTCAGCCTCCTTAGTAGCTAGGACTACTGCCATGCCCCACCATGCCTGGCTTTTTTTTTTTTTTTTTTTTTTTTTCATTTTGTATTTTTGTGGAGACAAGGTCTTGCTATGTTGCTTGTTTTAGAAGCTCAGTAAGTGTTACCTGTTATTTTCCTGTGCCTGTTCTTTCAATGGCCTCCAGCAGCTTGTCTGTCTTTTTTGTGTGTCCTTTTTTTTTAAGACATGAGGTCTTGCTCTGTCACCCAGACTGAAGTACAGAGACGTGATCATAAACTCATAGCCTCAATTCTGGCCTCAAGTGATCCTCAAATACAATTCCTGGCCTCAAGTGATCCTCCAGCCTCAGCCTCTCAAAGTGTTTAGATTACAGGCATGAGCCACCATGCCACCTCATGTGGTTTTATTTTTTTTTTGTTTTTTTGTTTTTTTTTTTTTTTTTTTTGAGACAGAGTCTCACTTTGTTGTCCAGGCTAGAGTGAGTGCCGTGGCGTCAGCCTAGCTCACAGCAACCTAAACTCTGGGCTTGAGATTCCTTCTGCCTCAGCTCCGAGTAGCTGGGACTACAGCATGCGCACTATGCCCGGCTAATTTTTTATATATATATATCAGTTGGCCAAATTAATTTCTTTCTGTTATAGTAAGAGACGGGGTCTCGCTTTGCCAGGTGGTTTTGAACTCCTGACCTTGAGCAATCCGGCCCGCCTCGGCTCCCAAGAGCTAGATTACAGCTGAGCACAGCGCCCGGCCCCATTGATGTTTTAATTTCATTTCCATAATGATTAGTGATTACTGAGCATATTTTCATGAATCTGTTGGCTATCTGTATATCCTCTTTTAAGAAATGTCTATTCAGATTCTTTGCCCATTTTTAAACTGGGTTATTTGTTTTCTTGCTACTGAGTGGTTTGAGTATTTACATTTTTAATACAAACCCCTTATCAGATATATGGTTTGCAAATATTTTCTTCCTTTCTTTCCAGTATTTTCTCTTCACTTGTTATTTCCTTGCTGTGCAGAAACTTTTAGTGTGATTGCAATTCCATTTGTCCTATTTGCTTTTTGTTGCCTTGCTTTAGGGATCATATCCAAAATATCAGTCTCTAGACCAATGTTATAGAGATTTCCCCCTATGTTTTTCTAGTAGTTTTACAGTTTCAGGTTTATACTGTACCGCTTCTATACATAACAACTATATTTAAAATTTTGTTGTAATGGAATAATTTTTTTTTTTTTTTTGAGATAGGGTCTCACTTTGTCGCCTGAGCTAGAATGCAGTGGCATCATCATAGCTCACGGCAGCCTCCAACTCCTGGGCTCAAGTGATCCTCCTGCCTCAGACTCCCAAGTAGCTGGCACCCACCACCATGTCGGCTGATTTTTTTAATTTTTTGTAGAAATGGGTCTCACTATTGCCCAAGCTGGTCTCAAACTCCTGACTTCAAGCAATCCTCCTGCCTCAGCCTCCCAAAGTGCTAGGATTATAGGCATGAGCCACTGTAATCTAAAAATTTACTCAAAGTCACTCTTTCATGCATTTGCCCATCCAATTCACAGTGAGAAGAGTAAGGAAAGGAATGAGGAAACAGAAAAAGGTTGGCAGGAAATATGCCAAAATGCTAACTAACATTCATCTTATCCCTAAGTGCTGAGATTAAGACCAATTTTTATTTTCTTGTTTTTACTAACTCTATTTTCTAAATGTTTCCATAGCAATTCTGTATCACTTCTGTAATAATAATGAAACAATAAAAATATTATTTGAGCAAAATGAAAATATGATCATCTTAAAACTTCCTGAGCAGAATATCAAATCAAGCCTCACTCATTTCACTCTCAAACATGGTGGAAGCTCAAACCAATTTCTTGGCACCAGTCTTCCATAGCTAAACCATACTGTGTCTTGCCTTCAGTTACCCTGTCATGCAATTCCCTTCTCAGAATCCGATATACAGAGCATAAAATACAAACTTTTTGGCTTTATGCAAAGCATTTTTGAATAATTTGGCTCAATTTTACCTTTCTACCTTCATCTACCAATACTATCAGTCCTCAGTTTTTCTAGGAGGAACCTGGTACAAAGGACTCAGGCCTTAAAGTCCAAGACCCTGACCAATACGTAATCTCATGGCCTCAGTTTCTTCAATGGAGAACAGTTGTGAAGATTAAATTTTTCAGTAATGCACTGAGCATTCAACAAGCCTTCAATAAATGTTGGTTCTCATTATTGTCATTGTTAGCCAAATGCGTTTTTATTCATTGACTTCTCAAAAAGCTTTGCACGTTTATATATGTTTTATGTATCACTATTTTGCTCCTTTCTGAGTTCCTTCCCTATCTTCTAAAATTCTATTAAAATTCAAGGTCCGGTTCAAGGCCCCTCTTCCAAGAAGGCTTTCCTGACTCTGCCAAGTTAATATGATCGCTCACTCCTTTGAACATTTACAGCACTTAAAATTTATTCTACCCAAATGGTGGTGTCTTGGTTCATTTATTAAATATTAATTCTTTTTCCATCAATGTAAGTCCCCAGAGTATAATTCCTTGCTAGCAGACACTCTATCTTATATACACCTATCTTATATACACCTTTGTGATGTCTCATGCATAATCAGGCATATATTAGATGCTCAAAAAATGTGTTAAACTGATTGATGGATTTGAAAGAAAGTCAGTACAATAAAAATACTGGCTAAATATTTTTGTGCTGGACTATAAAGTCTACATAAATATCGAAAATTTCAAGTAAGCAGTATAATTTAATTTCATGATTTAGTACCACTGACCAAATAAATAAGCCATACTTAAGCCATATGATTTCTCTCTAGCCCAATATAAGTATATAAAATATTAGCAATAAAATGACCCTATGTAGACAGCACTTTAAATTTTTCAAAGTGTCTTACACATAAGCCCTAATTAAATTTATATTGAATTAAATTATCTTATTAGGTCTCATTTGAAAATAAATTGCCTCACTAACATATCAAAACAATGAAGGTGAGAAAGATTCAGATACTGATTACTAGAAAGTGATGATTATAACCTTACTATATAAAAAAAATAATTCTCAAAGTGAGTGCTAAAACTTAAGGGTAGTTTGAGGGCATAATTTCACTTTTATTTGCACTCACTGATTTAATTATGATTCCTCACAAAGGAATTAGGAAAATTAAAAGCCACATGAAGACTAGTCTTTTTTCTATGATAAATTACTAATCAGCAATAGAAAACAACTGTTCTAATGAGTTGCTACTAATGTTCTAATGAGAGTAAAGCAATTTGAGAGAAGGGAGAAGTTGCGTTATTAAATGCAGTTAATTACTAGGAAATTAAGTCTTAGTGGGTAGAAAAAGACCTAGAGTGTTAATAAACCACAGCAAGATAGATTCAGCATGATAAATCTTGAATCTGTCTCTTTAGCCATCAGTGTTATTCTAGCAAGCCTTCAATGTTTTAGCTTTGTCACTGGTCTCCAGAAGGAAGGAAAAGCCATTACCTAAGGATGTTGGGATGGGAAAGTCGATTCATGAGCTGCACTTCTTTTAACATGTTTGCCCGGTTGCTGCTCAACGTGTTCATTTTAAGAGCCATCACCTGACCAGAAGCTCGGTGGCGCACCTAGCAAATAAAACAGACCAAGAGAAGAGGGTCAAAGGGCAGCAATTATACATGAGGTCAAAGTCTCCAAATGTAGAATATGCCAAGATATGTTAGTGCCAGTTTAGATAAAATAGACATCCAATTACATTAAAGTCTCACTCCCATTAATGAAGATGAATTTATTCCACCCAAGACCAAAATTGTTTTACATTGTGTTGGCCAAAAAAACATGGTTAATAACAGCTCAAGAAATCATATTTTTTTTAATACTTTAGGGAAAATATGCAGGAAATTTTTTAGGCTGCTTCCTTATGAACTGACAGCAGTGAGTCTTAACTGTGGAACTTTTAAGTGTGCACAAAAAAGATAGATATATGCATAAGCCTTATATAACACTTAATGCACTATAAAACTGTCTCTATAAGACACTAACCCTACATACTCAAAGTCTCCCCCAAACCCCATAAAAACATATCTATAAGAAAAAAAGCACTGCATGTTATAGAAAAAAGTCAGTGAAACTTTTATAGCTAATATTGTAGTAACTCTACACAAATAACCTTATAATTACTTGAAGACACTCAAGTTAAATAAAACAAACATGGGCCACATCACTAGCACCATAATAGCACACTGCAGCCCCCAACGCTTGGGCTCAAGACATCCTCTTGCCTCAGTCTACAGGGTGCCCTACCATGCCCACCAGCTACGAAAGCCTACTTTTTTTTTTTTTTTTTTTTTTTAATACAGAGTCTCACTCTGTTCCCCAGGGTAGAGTGCTGTGGCATCAGCCTAGCTCACAGCAACCTCAAACTCCTGGGCTCAAGCAATCCTCCTGCCTCAGCCTCCCAAGTAGCTGGGACTACAGGCATGCACCACCATGCCTGGCTAAATATATATGTATATTAGTTGGCCAATTAATTTCTTTCTATTTTTATAGTAGAGACAGGGTCTTGCTCTTGCTCAGGCTGGTTTTGAACTCCTGACCTTGAGCAATCCACCCGCCTCAGCCTCCGAGTGCTAGGATTACAGGCATGAGCCATCATGCCTGGCCGAAAGCCTACTTCTAAAAGCATTTATCCTCTATAGAATTCAATCTATTTTACATGTGTAAATATTATTTTATCATTTCAATGCACATTTCACAGGTTTAAAAAGCGTAATACTTTACTTATAAAAAAAATAACTATGTTTTCATCCTCTAAATGTGATAGTAGCAAAATGAGACTACCAGGGAAAATATTTTATCTTACTCAAAATAAGTTCAATTATTCACTGAGATGTGTGTGTTTCCTGCTGAGGAATTATGAATGAGGCAGTACAAAAATCATGAAGAGAGATGAGATCTCACTACTTACAGAGATACAGAGATCTCACTATTTTCTGATTTAAAAAAAAATTCACTTCAGAACTTACACAACAAGGAGGATTTGATATACAAAAATGTCAACATCCTATGGACTTTAGGAATATTATTTCAATATATTATACTTGACCATGTGTGAATTCCAATAGAAAATGTGACAACCTATTTCACTCTTGAACATCCTGAAACTCCTTGTAATGACAATAGCCCCAGAAGTTTAATATAGCTGTTAACATAGGACAGACATCACAGCTTATTTTATTTAGTTATTTAATTATTTAATGTTTTTATTTTAGCATATTATGGGGGTACAAGTGTTAAGGTTATATATATTGCCCATGCCCCCCACAGCTTATTTTATAATTCAAAGAAATAATGTTTCAGAGTGGCCAGAAAGAAGAGGGGAAGTGGGGCATGGGGTAAAACACTCAGAGCCACAGGAACCCTGATCAGAAAAACTGAGGCAGAGCACTGGCTGCCTCTCTCCTCTTCTAGATCACTGAGTAAGATTTGGAACCCAACTCTCTTCTCAGTGCATCAATGATTCTGTTGTCATGCACCTCGTGATTGATGAAAGAGAAGTAGCTTTCCTTTTCAGATCCTGCATGGATAAGTTAAAAGAAACATTTATATACAAAGAGCTCACTGACAGTATTTTTCCAACTCTATTTACAGAAGACAACTGTGTTTTAATAAGGGCTCTCCATCTTTTTTTTTTCCATTATCAGAAAACTATCATGCTGAGCTTTTATCAAAATGTCTGCTTTTAAGAAAGTTTGATATTAAAATAATGCAGGAAATTCAGAGATAGCTGCATTTCAGATTAATCAGAAAAAAACTCACTTCCTTAAGCAAGTGGACAAGATGTTGAGCATGTACATAACTCACTGTATTTTATCTTTAATCTGTATAAAATATTCTTTCTCTTCTTGTCTCTTATCCCCTTGCCCCAATTCTACTTATCGTTCAAGGCCACACTCAAATATAAATAATGGAATGTTAGCCTTAAAAAGGAAATTCTGACACATGCTATAATATGGATAAACCTTGAGGACATTATTCTAAATAAAAGGAGCCAGTCACAAAAAGACAAATACTATATGATGATTCTATTTATATGAGGTAGTTAGAGTGGTCAAAATCATAGAGACAGGCCGGGCGCAGTGGCTCACGCCTGTAATCCTAGCTCTCTGGGAGGCCGAGGCGGGTGGATGCTCCGAGCCGAGGAGTTCGAAACCAGCCTGAGCAAAAGTGAGACCCCGTCTCTACTATAAATAGAAAGAAATTAATTGGCCAACTAATATATATAAATAAAAAAATTACCGGCGCATGGTGCGCGCATTGTAGTCCCAGCTACTCGGGCGGCTTGAGGCAGAAGGAATTGCTTGACCCAGGAGTTTGAGTTGCTGTGAGCCAGGCTGACGCCACGGCACTCAACTCTAGCCTGGGTAACAAAGCTGAGACTCTGTCTCAAAAAAAAAAAATCATAGAGACAGAAAGTAGAATCGTGGTGGGCAGGGGATGGAAAAAGACAGGAATGTGGAGTTGCTTATGGGTAATAGAGTTTCAGTTTTGCAAGATAAAAACAGCTCCGGAGATGCTTGTACAACAGTGTGAATATACTTAACACTACTACTATACACTCAAAAATGGTTAAGATGGTAAACTTTATGTTATATGTATTTTAGCACAATTAAAAATAAATAAAGGCAAAAAATAATAATAATAAATAATAATAATAAAAATAAAAAAATAAATAAAGGTAAGAAAACCACCAAGGTAAGAAAATGACTACCTCTCCCTGACTATTAAATTTTTTTTTTAATTTTTTACTTATTATGGGTACATGATAGCTGTACGTCTTTATAGGGTACATGTGATGCTTTGATATTGGCAAACAATGTGAATTAATCAAATCAGGATAATTTAATTGGGATATCCATCACCTCAAGCATTTATCATTTTTTTGTGTTAGGAACATCCAATTCTATTCTTTTAATTATTTTAAAATATATCCTAACTTATTGCTGATTACTCTCGACTTTTTTTTTTTTTGGAGACAGAGTCTCACTTTGTTGCCCAGGCTAGAGTGAGTGCTGTGGCGTCAGCCTAGCTCACAGCAACCTCAAACTCCTGGGCTCAAGCAATCCTGCTGCCTTCCCTCCCGAGTAGCTGGACTACAGGCATGCGCCACATGCCGCTAATTTTTTTCTATATATATTAGTTGGCCAATTAATTTCTTTCTATTTATAGTAGAGACGGGGTCTCGCTCTTGCTCAGGCTGCTTTCGAACTCCTGAGCTCAAACGATCCACCTGGCTCAGCCTCCCAGAGAGCTAGGATTACAGCGTGAGCCACGCCCCCAGCCTCTCCTTGCCTTTTAAACTCTGATACTACCACAGCATCTCTAAATGCAGTTTCTAAAGAAGAATATAGCAAAGGGTGAAGTGTTTCAGGTTTGGAGCTGAGTAGACTGAATCCAAGTTTTAAAACTTAAATAATGAGAGTGAGTTCTCTCTGAAGTCTTCCGTTATAAAATGAAGTGAATTATAGTCTCTATCTCATTGAACTGTTATGAGGATAAAATTAGATAAATAAATGAGATCATCTCTAAACACACTGCAGGCATATAAAAGCATTCAATAAATATGTATTTTTAATAAAAAGAAGAAACTATATGTTCATAAAAATTTAGCATATCAGATGAGTTTGAGATGACATAGAAAATGCATATTGTAATTGTAAGTGAAAGTAGCAAATTCAAATCTGTATATGGTTCCAGGATTACTTATTTATTACAAGGGGAAAATATACCTTTCAAATGGAGAGATCTGGTGGTTAGAACCTTAACCAAGAGGTTGTATTTAGCATTACCAAAAGTTAGACACCCAACATTATCAGCTTTCTAATGTGATACACCTGCCAAAATGTTTAACTCAAATCTAATCACAATAAAACAATTTGATACATCCAGAATATCTAAAAGACAACTGGACAGTACTCTTCAAATACATTTATGTCATAGAAAACAGACAAAATATAGAGGAATATTCTAGATTAAAAGAGAATTAGGCCAGGTGCAGTGGCTCACCCCTGTAATCCTAGCACTCTGGGAGGCCGAGGCGGGAGGATTGCTCGAGCTCAGAAGTTCAAAACCAGCCTGAGCAAGAGCGAGACCCCCATCTCTACTAAAAATAGAAAGAAATTAATTGGCCAACTAATATATATAGGAAATATTAGCCAGGCATGGTGGCGCATGCCTGTAATCCCAGCTACTCGGGAGGCTGAGGCAGGAGGATTGCTTGAGTCCAGGAGTTTGAGGTTGCTGTGAGCTAGGCTCGAAGCCACGCGCACTACTCAGCTGGCAAAACGGACTCTGTCGCTAAAAAAAAACAAAATGATAGCATTTCTCGAACAGTTGACTGGATTCCCTGGCTCAGCAAGCAAGATAAAGACTTTTAAGGCAGCAAGATGCTCCCCTATACCCACCCACACGCCCGGGTGCCATACCTCTAGACTTTCGGGCAGGACCAAGGTGGCGCCAGACTCCTTGAGGCCTTGAGGAGCTTCCCAACGACCCAGCTTCTGGCGGCCAGCATGTGAAGGACCCTGTCCTTAAAAATACACTATTTTTTAAATCCGCATACAGCATG